CTTACAAACAGGTAAGCGGCTCATACCATTTTATGTATATAAAAATAGTTCAGTTCAACATTCCTCTATTTTCATCCTATCATTTTAATGTCTACTTTTGGGCAAACTTGTACTTTTTAAAACATCTAAATAAAATAGCTTATTTTTTCCTTAGTCAAAGAGATCGGTTAGAAGATGTCCTCAGAGAATTGACTCCTGAAAGAATGAAAATTGCAGAAGCAATGGTTTGGTGTTTGGATCATGCTGAAGCAGCAGAAGAAATAGTGGAATGCATTGCAGAATCTTTAAGCATTTTACAGACACCACTTCCTAAAAAAGTAAGACTCAGAGTTCTCAGTCATTGTTATATTTATTTGTTTGGAAGTTATGTATGATGAGATATTGAATACAATCTAACTTCATTTTCATTCAACAACAAAAAATGTTAACATTTTTAGAATACATTAATGTTTGCAAAAATATATTTGTACTATTCCAAAGAGTTTTTCTTTTTCTATAATTTAATTTTTTTTTTTCATAACATTTTAAATGTTTTACAATGCAAAAGTTAAAATAATTTTTTCTTTCCCAGATCGCAAGGTTGTTTTTGGTTTCAGATATTTTATTCAATAGTAGTGCCAAAGTTCCAAATGCATCATTTTTTAGAAAATTGTAAGTACATTTATATAGCCTTTTGAAAGCCTTTTAGGGTGATATATTATTTATTAATATTATTAAGTTTTTAAATTAATTAAAGAGTTGGGCAATTGTTATATTTTTTTACTGTTTCAGCTTCCAAAGCAAACTAAAAGAAATTTTTAAAGACATCAATGAATCTTACGAAAAAATAGAAGGTCGACTAAAGGCTGAACAATTTAAGGTGATAATGTAATTTCTAAATTCCTCTAAACCTTAAATGATAAATAGTTTAGTGCACAAATCTGACCCTAATCATTTTTTCTGTAATGCTTGAAAAGAAAGCATAAGCAAATCTTTTCTATGTGGAGAAAAAAGTTTTTGTTAAATTTTGAACATGGGTATTGTAGATTTAGAAAGTGCAATAACATTGGTTAGATAGTAGAGTTTAGGAAGGTTGACAATGACTGTGAGGTTAGGGTCAAGAATGATGTAATTGATTTTCTAAGCCAGTCATATAGTTTATTTGTAAAATATCTTCTTCTTTCTACATTACTTTAATGCATATTATTCTTACAGCAAAAAGTGATGAACTGCTTCAGGGCCTGGGAAGATTGGGCAGTGTATCCCAATGATTTCCTCATCACTCTTCAGAACATATTTCTTGGTCTAGTTATGCCTACCAAAGTAAGTCAGACTAGTGTCATTACTTTCAACTCTAGTGCGTTTTAACATTTAAGTGATACTGTCATCTGTTGAGCCTTTGCTTAAAAATGGTTGCTTACTATTTGATCAGGATGAGTCCCCAGAGAGAAAGATTGAAAAACCTTTGGATCTTGATGGTGCTCCATTAGAAGATGTAGATGGATTTCCATTAGCTGTGTTACCAAAGCCTGTCCCAGATTTAGATGGTGATGAGATAAAAGAAGATGTTGATGGTTTACCTTGTAAGATACAAGTATAGTTAATAAAGTTTGGATGAGTTAAAATGTTTTAAATTAAAAATCTATTAATATACATAAAAAGATAATCATTTTATTATTATTTGTGTGAGTTCCCTTTCAAATTTTGCTGTTAAGCTAATGTTTCTATGACTAGTGGTTTCGCTGAAATTTCCTTGTGTCCAGCACCTTGCTTTATTTAATTAAAATCACCATTGTAACTATATTACTGCTTTATTTATTACACTTTTTTTTTTTTTTTTCTTTTTTTAATTTTCATAAAATTAATCTATATAACCTCTAACTCCATTATCTTTTATCTCCAGTAATGGAAGCTGACATTGATGGTGATCCTTTTCCTGCAAAAGCACCAACCCCTCCTCTCACAGCAGCCCAACCAGCATTTATTCGTTCTAAATGGGAAGAAGTAGACGAAACAGAGCTGCAAGCGCAAGGTCAGTGTTATATATTAAACTTTACCTTAGGCTTAGCTTTGTATTATTACAGAGTTTAAAATGTCAGTAGTATTTACCATCATAGACCAAGCAGACAAATAACTTAAATAAGTTGGTCCAAACTGATATTTTTTTATAGTTTTTGACTACCTTTACATAATGCAAGAGAAAAAAACAACATATAGGAGTGATTTTTGTCATAGATACCTCTATTTTTAATTGTAAACTTATTCATTTAGCAATGACAACATCAAAGTGGGAAATGTTGGAACCAGAAGAGGAGGCAAACACCCATGAAACAGGCGAAGATATTGATGGAATGTAAGATAATCTCAAAATCAATAGACAATTTCATTTTAAGTAGATAGTGACATTTAAAAAAAAACAAAAAACAGTTGTCTCATATGTAATGCTTTGATTCCCAGGCCACTAGATGATACAAACCGACCATCCAATGTCCAGTCTGATGAGAGTGATAATGAAAGTGAGCCAGACTCTGTCAGTATGTCACGCTCCTCAATGCAGGACAATGTATATAACTTAAAATACAGTCAACTTTCAGAAGAAAGGAGACAGAAACTGCGAGAGATTGAGGTATAGTGTAGCATTTTCTATTAATCATGGTCTCAAGTATAATGGACATTTTCTATTCAAACTGCACACAAACTCATGATCTCAAGAAAATTATGATCTTAACTAAATAAGACTAATTATATTCATTCTGAAATGTAAATTCAAATGATAAAATGTTTAGTTTAATATAAAAAAGAAAACAGAAATAGTTGACCTTTATATCACCTGTCTTAAAGGAATCTTTGACTTTTACTTCTATTGCACAAAACAACTCGAGTGAAGTTTGTAAACATTTGCCTGATAGCTTTATTGTTCCTTAAGGATTGAAATCACTGATTGTACTATCCTGTAGGTGAAAGTAGTCAAATATCAAGATGAATTAGAAGCTGGAAAACGCTCAAGGAAATCTGGTATGAGCTTACTGGATCAAGTAGAGCATTACAGAAGGAAACTCCATAATAAGGTTGGTACATAAGGCTTTATTTTTTAAACATAACAAGGATATGGTAGGACACAAAAATAGACACCTTATTCCATCTTTAAATTAGGATGAAACTCAAAACTTTGAAAATGCCTTGTTATTAAACATTATTTTTAAGTGGCAATTCATATATATACTGGTAATGTGGAATGCTTCTTACACAGATATAATTGTGGGGATACAAGAGTTTTTTTTTCTGTAAGGCAGAGACCAGGACCAAATCTATCAACCAATGGCTTGTTATTAATATGAAGTTCAGAAGTAAAAGTAGAGACTAGTTTATTAGGCCAAAAAAAAAAAAGTTTAATAAGCTGAGTTCATTTTTTCATTTGTTTTTCATTGTAACAATGGGGATTGCTTGATATCTTTAAAAAAATAAATTAATTAAAAAAAAATGTTTACAAATAGTATCTGTGACCATACCCAATTAATCCTGAATCTTGACATCCCTGAACTCAGTCAACAAAGAACTGATGAGGTAGGCACATATTAAGACTTTCAGGTCATATATAGAGTAAGTAAAGTTTCCCTTTCAGACATTGCTGTCTATATGGCAAGGTCAGGTCATTTGTTTCTTTGGCAAATGGTTATGAGCAGGGTGTCATGTGGCCAGCACAACGACCAACCACCTTTACTTTCCCCAACTAAAGTCAGGTACCATTTAGAGTTGGGTGGACTCTGGAGCATCCTAAAAATCTGAGTCTTCACCGAGATTCAAAAGCTGAGCACTCAGCCATCTCACCCCCACCCCCAGGCCATATATATAGTATGCATTATTATTGTTGCATTAACAGTAAATGTGGTTTTCCTTTTTTTTTAATTTTAATCCATTCCATAGTGATCATTTATGTAGTAGTATTGAAAACTGAAGGAACAAGTATTCTAATTTATTGTTTACACTTTCTTGTGCAGCTACTAAACATGCAGGATTCTCCCCAAGCTGAGAGAGACAGCAGCGGTAGTAAGAAGAGATATAGATCAAGATCATCATCTCCATCCCGTCAAGCCAAATCCTCCGACAGATCTGACACACCAAAAAGAAAAAAGAAAGATAAAGATCGAAGGTAAATTCAAAGCAGCATCAGTGTTGTACTTAAACATGTGTCTTTGGTGAATACACACTTTAAATCTGCATTCATTTTACATTTGTTATTTCCATTCTTATGAGTACATATGGACTCATTGAGGCTAATAGAAAAAAATAAATGTCTGCAATATTAGTGTTGCATTATATGAAAGGTATAAGCAAAATTATTAAATTAGTGCCTGAGAACATTTCGTTTTTATCAACTTGCTCCATTTTATTATTGTTTATAATAAAAATCTGTTTAATCAACAGTCCTAAGCGTTCCTCGCGAAGGTCAAGGTCTGGATCAAGGTCCAGGTCGCCAGGAAGAATTTCCCGCAGTCCTGGTAGAGAGAGAAAGAAACACAAATCAAGGAAGCACAGAGATTGACCTGTTAGTTCAATGTGTGTGAGAGTACCCTGCATGAACTTCTTGGTAACAATGTCTAGTTCTGTGAGAGACTGTCTAGTTTCCTGGTCACAAAGAGTTTGATGGTCTCAGTGAGAAAGGCTTACACGTTTTGGGGTCAAAAGAGAGAGAAGGTCTAGTCTTATGGTTACTGACTGAGTGAAAGGAAATAACCTCTTTGTTACTAGTAGTTGTTGTACATAGTGTATGATTAATGAGATAAACTTAAAGTTTGTCTACTTGTCCAAGTTGGATGTGACAAACGACCACTATACATTTTTAAAACTTGTTTAACAATAATGAATTGATTATGCTTCACTTGATACAGTGTGGCCTGAATGCTATGGATTGATTGCATAGGCTGAGTTCCTGAGTATATTGAGATAAATGACAAGCTCCTGTATGTTACTTTCTTTAATGTTGAACGTTGTATTAATGTTTATTTTGTTAAGCTTTACCCCCCCCCCCCCCCCCCAAACTTTTTTTTTCCATATCAAACTTTCAACTTGTGGGACATAAACCTTTTATTTAAACAAGGCTTTGATTCCTGATTTTACACTAAGACAAGAAGATTTAATAGTCCTCTCCTATACTGCTTCCAGCAGTACATTTAAAAAAATATTTTTTTGTTCAGATTTTTAGATCTGAACCATAAGGCATGGGTGTAATAAGTAAGTTATAGTTCTGTGCCATCAAACTTTTGTTTAAAAAACCGAGGTTGTTTCTTACTATGTTGATTGAAATTTTGCTATTAAATTTTTTTTTTTTTTATTCCATTGCAACTCTTCCAGTCACTAACTTAAAGAATCAAATCTCTTGATTGAATTGAATGGAGTGTTTGTAAGGTGCACATGTGAATGTAAACTAGTGTAGGAAATCCTACAGGGTCTGAGAGTTGTGATTAAAAGAACATTGGAATGAAAATGCAGTTGTGTATAGTGATATTTTTTGTTTCACTCATATAAATCATCATACCAAGTTTTGAGTTTTGTTGTTTTTAATAGGTGCTAGTTTGTTTTAATCTTTTTATGCATAAAAATACATCAGATACAATTTCAAATGTAAATCTAGTGAAAAATACAGATAGTGTACCTAAATGATCATTCATTAATCAATTTTGTTACTTTTTGACACTACCTTTCCATACATTAACAAAATTTAAAGGACTGTTTCAACACAATTAGAGAGCCTAATGACTGAATAATTAAGCAAAGCTGTTTTTATTGTTCACCCAGGCTGTTTTTATGGCTTCTTTGCAAAGGCACTAACATGTGTTGTATGACATCTTAAAGATTTATCTAAAGTTTCAATGTTAAGTCATTTGTTACCTTGATGCTTAGAAAGCACAAAAGGATTTTATGAGATAGTTAAGAGGTAAAAAAAAAAAAGGCTAAGGAGTAGATTGCACAGACTGCCACAGCATCCCTACCAAAGTCAAGGAAGAAATCCAGGAGTTTCTCCAAATAAATACACTCAACACCTATAATATAAAGCATAAAAAGTAAGGAGTATGTATGTATGTTCCAAATAGAAACCAAAACCGTTTGACCTATCTTGATAAAACCTGGCCATCAAATTTGAGTTTCAAAAGCATTTTCACTTAAATTCATTCCTTATATCTGCGAATTTAGACTTTCTGACGTGCTTTATATCCAATTCATCGCGCGCTTCTTTCATTTAATTGCTAAATTTATCTCTATTAAAGAAACTTTAAACAAATCGGGTAAAGCATTTGATATGAATGTATCGGCTTAACGGGTAAGCCCATCTTCATTCATGGCGAATGAAAAAATATTGAAAGGAACATTAGCTAAGTTTGACATAGATCTAAATCTAATCCACTAGATAAGTAATACACAAACTAAGGGCCGCGGGTAATATCAGACTAGTGTATATATATATACTAGCCTGATATTACCCGCGGCCCTTAGTTTGTATATATATAGTGCGTCCATAGTGGTTCGATATTTGGGGGAGGATTCGCGCAACACGTCGACCTCTCTTGCCCTAAAGCCCATCCATTTCCGGAAGCAAGATTTGGTCAAGACGTCCGGGTACGAGTTTGGTTGCAGTGGACGACTAGTATACGATATTTATGATAATACGTTTCATGGGACTTACACAAAAAAATATATTCCTTATTTTAATTACATGGATTTGACGCAAGTTTAAAGAAAATATACATGATCGATTTAGTGACTTCAGTTACCATTTAAGTTCAGTTACATTGAATGTTATCTTTTTTTTTCTTTTAAACAAAGCTTATATCAACTCACTCTGTCTGTCTGGTAAAAAGTTTGTACACGTTATTTCTCCCACACCCAGTCTCGGATTATGCTGAAATTGTGCACAATTATTTCTTTTACCTGAAAACACAAGAATAAAAAATAAATTACCCAATTAGTTAACTAACCATTGGTAATTAATTATGTTGTTGGGTATATTGAACACAGGAAGGAAATCGCACTTGACAGATGTGGTGGCATAAGTTGAATTAGTTCCATTGAGGACTCTTGCGCCCTGATTGAACTTTTTTTTATGCATTATTAAAACGATCACGTAAACATTGACATAGATACCCCTTTCTTGCATTTATTGTCTAGTCTAGGTCGAACATACATATAATTACATGACTGATCCAAACTAATTGATACAATTACACTTTATACGCTTTTTTTTTTTTAAGTAGGCCCATGTTTTTCTTGTATCCATCTTACGTTCACGACATGCAGTGATGTGCAGAGGCGTAGCTAGGAATTTTCTATCGTTTGGGGGCCCGGGGGGCTTGACCTCTTTGGGGGCCCCTACATTTTGCGTAATATTAAATTTTTAATGTAAAAAACACTCATTTGAAGGCCCCTTTCAAGTGGGGGCCGGGGGATTTTCAAATTCTCCCCCCTCCTCCCCTTACCCTAGCCACGCCACTGATGATGTGCCAAATAATATCTTACTTTAAATCATTTCATTTCAGAAATTTTAAATATTTGTTTATCACAATTCAACAATTAAAGCCAAATATTTAATATGAATTTTTATTGTCTGCTATTTTTTTTGAGGCCTACCAATACCATATACTTTAAAATAATGCAGCTTTTAATATTTTTTGTAAAGATACCTGTATAAACTAGTTATACGACCCCTTTATCTTCTAATGTGAAGATAATGACTTATTATTAAGCTAGTTTATATGAGCATAAAATCTGTGGACGCATTAGTGGGCAAAGTGGCTTTTGGTAGAGGAGGCACTCTGTAGGCCTACCACATATAATCCGCCAAGCTATTAAGCTGTGGACCCCTTCGCACTGCCCGATTAGTGGAAATAAAGTGGCTGATCCTTAAGTTTGAGAAAGAACACTTTCGAAACCACACCACGTTTCAACAAGCTACGACTATTATCCGAGACTGGTTACATGAGAAGTGGTTCAAATCCTGGGAGGAATCTGGTAAGGCCTGGGGTGTGTGGTAGCAGATTGAGGTTATCCATGGTGAAGGCTTAAAAAGTTGGAACAGACAATTATAGCGTAGTGAAGAACGGGACACTGCACCATATAAATAGGTGCATACTTTGCTCGGTTCTGTCCAGATTTTGCTGCTTGTTGCTGACACTGGAGAGTTGGAGGAAGAGTGGTGCATGTCTTATGAGACACTACGCCAAACAGCAGAGTTTTATCAACATGGGAGACCTAAGCCTTCCTGCCCTTTAACAACATTGTAGTCTATATGTAAATATCGTAAATAACTAATTTTCTTTTGTAGTAAATATTTTACATATCTAAATAGGTGAGATTTACTTGTTTGTAAAATGTTTTACGTGTTTCGGATGTTCCTTCAGTGTTGAAGATAGTTTACTTCCTAGTCCAAACCTCCCGCAGGACGACGGTGGATGGGAGCGGGCAGGGTTTGAACTCGGAATCATCGATAAATCCAAAAGACATTCCAGCGCGCAAACCGCACGACCAGGCAGCCATTTTATTAACGAAATTTACACGGAGTCTTCAGTGAGTAGGCCTACGTAATTATTGTAAGGTTGTGTATTTAACGGCACAACTTTTTTTTTCTCACTTTAAAGCACTGCAGAATGCCCATTATTTAGTTGTCAACAATCATCTTTCAATATAGTGTCATTGACATTGTGTATTTTTGAGTTTACTTCAAAATCTCTCCCAATCATCTTTTCATTTTCATGGGCGCCCGCAGGATTTTGTGCAGGGGGGTGCAAGTTGCCACATTTGGCTCAAAGTCGTAGCTTCAACTTTTTTTATTACAGAGAACATTAAAGAAAAGAACTGGTGCCCCCTCGCCATCGTTTGCTAAATTAAGTTCACTGTAAATACTTGTTTCAGGATATTAAAAACAAAAACAAAACTAACATGTGAACAATCTATTTACTGTACACGCTGGTAAGTTTAGCCGTACGGCCGTGCATCCCTACGGTCGATCAAACAAAAATTGCAAACGCTACCGAAACTGTGAATAACTTTACTGCTGAATTGCTTCTCGTCGTGGACAAGCCGGCGATGAACGCTTATCTGGCAGTTCTGATACTCTTCTTAACGTTGCAGCTCTTGCATCGTTTTAGGATGTAGACAAAACAGGTTTAACTAAGCATTATTATTGCTTGAAAAGCGATACGTTAATGAACAAACTAACGAGTCAAGATACGGAATGTAAAGCCGTGTTCTTTAATAATCCCAAAATCCAAACATGTGCATGTGATTTTTGCTCGGTGTGTTTGTCAATTGCAAATTCTTGGAAGTACCAGCTCAATACCAAATTTGTCTGCCAGCAGTCTCACCTTCCTCAAGATGCCATCCCTGAAGTGATCCTAGCATGGTCAAGTTGGTTTTTGATTGTGTCATCAATGTGACTAATGATTAGCTGTTGAGCGGCCACTTAGGCTAAGAAGGACAGACTGTAACATCACGGAAATTAGTTAAAGAACAGCTGAATAATTGACGACAATTAAAAGACAAATCGGAAACACGAGAAGCCGGCACTGATTACACATAAGCAGTTATGGCTTCACTTACAGACGTTATTTTAAAATACGCCAAACAGTCAAAGATCTTTTCAAAGTTGTGACTTAAAGCGCAAATGGATTCATATTTCTCAGTCCACAAAAGAGGTAAATTTAACATCAACGCTCTCGCTTTGGACTGTTACGGAAGAAAAAGGCAGTCTTCTTGATGACACCAATAGCATTGCATATATCTGTAAAGTCATTCAGGTCAATGATAACAAGTTTAAGTCTGTGGGACGCGCAACGGACAAGGTCTGCTTTTCGATATTTTTCAAAAATCCTTGCCTGAACAGAGTTCTGAATGCTACCCTTCACGGGGTAGTCATCTTAGCTTTGGTCGAGTAGTTTGTCCATGTTTAGGCTAAAATGTAGGCCTACATAATGTATTCGCTGACAATGACATTAGACACAGGCAGTGAGTCTCTCTAAAAACAGCGACAAAACCAATGAATTCTTATCGAGTACAATAGCCATCAACAAATCCAACGCTCAAACACATTTGTTCAGTGCCTGAGATATCTACATTTTTGTTAACGAAATATCAACAATACGAAGTTAATTCATGCTACTGCTGCTCTATATTTTTGGTTTCTGGCTACTGCCAGTGCTCCGTCGATACAAATCAACATTTTCACTCAGATAGGCATGGGAAGAACTTTTTTTTTTTTTTATATATCTTCTATCGTAAACGGATGGACTTGTTTAATGTTTACTCTGCTATTTTACAGAGCGCTAATACCGACCGCAACTCCGCAAGACGTAACTACGTGTAGGCCTACATTGACCAAGATGACTGCAATCTTCAATCTTGTTCAATAAATGTTCACATATAAAAAATATGACAAAGATTTTTCCTCCAAGAAAAAGAAACAAAAAAAAATGTTATCACTTACTTGGCCTTTACTAAATAAATAGGCTAATGATAACAATGAATTATATGCAAATAAAAACAAATCGTAATGTTACCACATTCTTGGCCTTTACTAAATATAGGCTAATGATAATGATAACAATGAATTATATGCAAATGAAAACAAATCGTCACGACTAACGTGCTATAAAATATTGAATTGCAAGCTTATAATAAA